TGCAGCCATATAGCTTTACAATGGAACTTAAAGGAGAAGTATGGCCAAAGCTCTATTAGCTGTACTTCTCCTCTGGGACACAGGAGTGCACTTAGTTCTGCACACCTGTGACCCAGATTCAGCTGACATCAGAGAGCCAGTCCAGACTCTGTAGGGATCCCAACAATAATGTTAGCATCCAGGCAGATGCCTGACCGGCAGCTGGCCCAGCCTCTCAGAGCACCACTGAGTGCCTGAATCAGCTGCTCTTACCCCTTCCACAGCCTGGTGTTCCACTGAGCACTGGAGGGGAAGAGCAGAGAGCTGGTGGCTAGTGGCTGTCACCACTCTCAGATCACTGAAAATCAAAACTGAGTGATCAGCAGTTGTGTGATTGCTCAGTTCTCTCAGCTTAGAGCTGGCAGGGGACAGCTGCAGCATTGGATTGATGCTGCAGCTATCTAGGTGAGTACGATTGTGTGTTTTTATATCCCACACTTCTCTTTTAAGAGTTGAAGTAATACAATACACATACATAGACAGTTATCCCCATTCAATATTTGGAAAAGGAAGGGATGGGGCAATCATTGGGTGGTAGGAGGTCACACCCCCGAAAGTAACATAGTGCCACTTCCCAACTGAAGAAAATTAGAGGCAAAAATATCTAATGGATGTTTTAGGCATATAAACTCAACACGCAAAAAGTAAAAACAATGTTGCTTATTAACATATCACATATAAAACATATCTTGTATATATTTAAAATAGCATTGCACACTTAGAACACAGCATGTCTCCCGCCACCAACCAACCATAGTAACTAATTCCAAGAGAGATTAGATGAAGATGGTGAATACAGTATACTTCTTTCAGAGGGTAGGGAATGTCCAAACTGTGTGAAAAACGACCAACATGTTTCGCGACTGGAGTTCAGGGGCTAGCAATGCATCTGAAAATAATGAACAAACTTAAACAATAAACATGTATAGAAAATCAGACAAAAATACAGCATAGGTACCGCCTATACAATAGGCACTTACATGGTTAGACAATGTGCATTGTATGATAAAGAACTTCCCAGTGAAGCCAGAACAAGTCCCCCCAGGCGACCAAGGGATGACAGATCCCACTGTCGGGTGTGGGGGCGCATCAGTTATGCAATGGAAGACAGAGAACCCCATGGAACTCACAGGCAATCAACAGATAAAAGATAGAAGTCAGAGGTGCCAGTTGGTGGTCGACAGCGTCAGCATAATAATCCAACTAAAAGGGATTAATGATGTAAAACAGAATAGAATATACAGAGATATAAATTACTAATATCCCAAAGGGGCAACGCATCTATTATTGCATAATAAAACAAGACATTCAGAAAAAAGTTAACTCTAAGCTTGAAGCGATATGTCAAGTGTATAGACCTAAGGGGCACATATACACAACCCCTCGCTGTAAGGTGAAAAGCCAAAAGGCCCTTAATTAATCCACAGTGAGTAAGCTCCAGTATGAGGCATAGGAACCGATTGGCCTGGAAAACTGAAAGTGCCCCTATTAATATGATTCCCCTCTGGACCCACACCCTCCGTATATAGTATAGAGTAACTGTAGCCAAGGAGAATCGCGCAGTCTGTAGGACTACAAATCAACCTTATCAGTGTTGGAGGAGTCCCAAAGGATAGTCTGCCAACCCACACTGCTTAAATACGCCCCGACCAGGCCCGCCAACACCAGCTGGCGTATGACGTCATCCCAGCCTGACCAATACATCCACGCATGCCAGAGACCCCCGCACATGCACAGAGCACCACACCGTGATGACATGACCATGACATCACAGCAAAGGACCCGACACTTCCCAAGCCCGGTGACTTGGCCCAGTGTAAACTGCCAATCTCCAGTAACACAAGGGGTCATGGGGGGCGGGGTAGCAGGCTCAAGATGACAACCTCAGCCTACCAGCCACACACCCGACCAATCATAGTGCCCCCCGCCAAGCTGACCAGGCAGTGCCCTGGCCACAACAAGGGGGTCCACAATCATAACAATACCCACATCACATGATGTACAAGATATTTGCAGTAGTATAAAGAACTAAATAAACAAATCCATATATACATACGACAAAATGGCCACAAAATCATCCACAGAAATTGTAAGGCCACCGGGTCCACTAGTAATACATCCATAATGGCATCAGAAGGATATTGGCCAATCCAAGGTCACCCCCCCCCCAAGGAGAAACTAGAGGGGGGGAACATTAGCACTTAACCCCAAAAATGAAACAGGTGCCTGTATTCAATATTAGCAAATGATTGATTCCAATAATTTTAATGCATAAATATGAACAGAGCCTGTGTCGGTGACTATATATATAGATCATTCTAGGAGAGAGTATATGATGATATATGCAAAAGACCTATATATATAAAGTAAACAGGATGACTGTAAACTGTCATAGGGGGATAACCCCTGCACTGTTTACTAAAACAAACACAATCCATGATAGCCAGTCATGTCACAAAACTACATTATCCCAAACTGGTCATTTATAGTGTTTGTGAATCTATGCCATTGAAATCAGAGAAAGGATTTGCATGATAGAATTTCATTAAGGCCTGTTGAATTTACTTCATTTAAATGTTCGATCCACTTGGTTTCTCTACAGAGAATTTTTTTTATCTCATTTGCCTCCACGTGGGTCTCTCATAACTACCTCCAATACAGTGAATTTAGCATGCGTGGTATCAAATTTATAATATAATCCCAAATGACGACTAATAGAGGTAAGCATTTTGGCATTACATGAATAATAGATGTGATCATGTATTCTTTGACTAAACTGATGTATGGTTTTACCCACATGGTAAGCCCCACAAGTGCATGTCATATGGTATATTACTCCCCTAGTTGTACAATTAGCATGACATTTAGGGATCAAAATCTCTCCATTGAGTAGTATAAATTGTCTGACAGTCTGCACCCAAGGACAATATGTACACTTACCGCAGGCAAAAATGCTGTTAGGAAGTGTAGAAAGGTTGGTTCTTGGTATGTAGTGGCTTGATGTTAATTTATCTTCGATACAGACTGCTTTACTGAACACCAACGCAGGGTAATCTTTAATGTATTTATTTAATATGGGATCCTCCTGCAAGAGGTGCCAATGACGTTGTAAAACATCACGTAATTCCTGATGTTGTACAGAATACTGTGTTATAAATCTTGTTGTTGGGTGTTTAGCCTTAGATTTGGATGTGGGGTATATTAAAGCTGTCCTATCCTTGGCCAGTGCCTTATTGTAGGCTTTACGTAAAAGTGTCCTACTGTAACCCCGCGAAAGAAGACGTCGGCGTAAAAGACTAGCTTGATTTTTAAAGTCCTCTAGATACGTACAATTGCGCCATAGGCAAATATATTGTGAAAAAGGTAGGCTTTTTACCTCTAACTTCATACAATGCACACTGTCTAACCATGTAAGTGCCTATAGGGGGTCTATCCTATAGGGGATATTTTTGTCTGATTTTCTATACATGTTTATTGTTGTCAGGAATGGACTTGCCAATAATGGTGGGACTCACCTGCCTTGTGGGCTGCAGTATCAGGGCTGGCCAGCGGGTGCTCTCAGCAATCAGAGACTCAACCCTGCAGTCAGCCAAACACCTGAAGCTGATTACGGAGGTGTATTTAAGGGATGGCCAGACCTGCAGTCTGTGCCTTGGTGTGTGTTTTATCCATGGGAATCGGGAACCTTGTAACCTGCATTCCTGTTCCATTTCCTGCCTGACTGACTGGTTGCCGACCCTGCCTGATTCTGACCTCTGCTGGCTTCTCCTGTTTGATCCCTGGCTTGTGACCCCGACCATTCTCTGCCTGACCCCCTGTACCTACCTGCCCATTAGTTGCTGTACCCGGCTCGTGACCTGACTACTCTCTGCCTGCTCCTCCTGTACCGACCTGCCCATTAGTTGCTGTACCCGGCTCGTGACCTGACTACTCTCTCCTGCTCCTCCTATTCCTACCTGCCCGATTGTTATTGACCCGGCCTGCCTGACTACGCTTGCATTGTATGTATTGTTATCTGTGGGTGGTTTGGTTCGTTTGCACTGTGTTTATGTTTTAGTATTGCACTGCATTTTGTATTGTTAGTATTAATAAATTATATTGTTTATAACATATCTGAAGCCTGCGTTTCCCTGCGTCAGTTCACACACCTCTAGTCATACCCGGAGCCCTGACATTACACCAAGGCCAATCCTGACCAGAAGTGGCTGCACAGGGAAGCCATCTTGGCTTGTTGCTGGGAAGGATGGATCTTGATGAGGTTGTGTATTTGTCGCTGCTGGTTTTTGATGACAGAGAATATGCTTATCAGACTCTGAGGGAGTATACCCGGATCAACTACTAGAATGTATACGGATCGCTCATGTTCTAGTAGATCAGGGCACAGAGTTCTCTGAGGTGCAACCTTTGATTCAGGTTTGTGTAGAGTTGGCTTCATCTGGTACCCTTGAAAGCAGGGATGAATTTTTGCCGCCATTTAGTGCAGACCAGGTAGAGTCCCTGGTGTGGTTATTGGAGGATGATGTGGATTGCTTCTTGGAGCATTATGCTGCATGTTCACAACAGGTACTAAGGGATTGTATAAACGCAGTGCAGTCTTTGACCAGACAGGCTTTGTGTAAGCTGAGCTTTGTTCAACCCATACTGCAGACATGGTCAGACTTGTTACACCTAGCCTCAGTCAGCTTACAACATCATTCCTCCGCTCAAGGCACTCTTCCTGCATCCCCGACAGCACCCCCAGTGACGGCCCAGTATACTCTGCTAACTACCACATATCAGTCCTCTGCTCCCACTCGCTGCACCTATCCTTTCTTTAACCCTGTAAAGAAGTCCTCTGTAGCAACTGCTCCCTCCTCTGTTCCATCCTCCAGCTCTTCTCTGTCCTCAGCTGCCCCATCCGTTTACAAACCTGCGCTTACTTACAGTGCTCCGGTAACTAAAACCAGGAAAAAGCGAAAATTCTTTCCAACCAGTACCATCCTGCCAGTATCCAAACCGGTGAGCCTGCCGTCTGAGAACCTGCCTTCCGTGGTTCAGCCTGGTGCCTCGGCACCCGCACTTCAGCCTGATGTCTCTACCCAGCCTGATGTCTGTACCCAGCCTGATGAACTGATCCAGCCTGACAATCCAATGCCTGATGACCCAGTGCCCGCTGTCATGCCTGGTGACCCGATGCCCACTGTCGAGCCAGACGATCCAATGTCTGACCCCGTGCCCGCGGTCATGCCAGTTGACTCGGAGCCCACTGTCGTGCCCGGTGACTCAGTGCCCACTGCCTTGCCAGATGACGCGGTGCCCGCTGGCGAGCCAAATGACCTGATGCCTGGTGACCCGATGCCCGCTGTCGAGCCAGACGATCCAATGTCTGACCCCGTGCCCGCGGTCATGCCAGTTGACTCGGAGCCCACTGTCGTGCCTGGTGACTCGGTGCCCCACTGCCTTGCCAGATGACGCGGTGCCCGCTGGCGAGCCAAATGACCTGATGCCTGGTGACCCAATGCCCGCTGTCGTGCCTGATGGCCCGGTGCCTGCCGCTCTGCCTGGGGGGCCCGGTGCCCCTGCTCTGCCTGGGGGCCGGTGCCCGCTGCTCCGCCTGGGGGCCCGGTGCCTGCTGCTCCACCTGGGGGCCTGGTGCCCCGCCGCCCCTCTGGGGGGGGGGCCCGGCACCCGCCACTCCGCCTGGGGGCCCGGCACCCCGCTGCTCCGCCTGGGGGCCCGGCGCCCCCGCCGCTCCGCCTGGGGGCCGGGTGCCTGCTGCTCCGCCTGGGGGCCTGGTGCCTGCTGCTCCGCCTGGGGGCCCAGTGCCCGTTGCCCCCGCCTGGTGGCCCGGTGCCTGCTGCTCCACCTGGTGATCCGGTGTCCAGCCCGATGTGCCTCTGCCCGGTGTCCAGCCTGATGTGCCTCTGCCGGAGTCCAGCCCGCTGTGCCTCTGCCCGGAATCCAGCCCACTGTGCCTCTGCCCGGAGTCCAGCCCGATGTGCCTCTGCCTGGAGTCCAGCCCGATGTGCCTCTGCCCGGAGTCCAGCCCGTTGTGCCTCTGCCCGGAGTCCAGCCCGATGTGCCTCTGCCCGGAGTTCAGCCCGATGTACCTCTGCCCGGAGTCCTGCCCGATGTGCCAGTCTTTGATATCCCGCCAGTTACCAGACACGGGTGGTGGAACATTTTGCCCAGCTAGGACTGTTTGGAGCATCCTGAGGCTGCTCCTTGAGGGGGGGGGGTACTGTCAGGAATGGACTTGCCAATAATGGTGGGACTCAGCTGCCTTGTGGGCTGCAGTACCAGGGCTGGCCAGCGGGTGCTCTCAGCAATCAGAGATTCAACCCTGCAGTCAGCCAAACACCTGAAGCTGATTACGGAGGTGTATTTAAGGGATGGCCAGACCTGCAGTCTGTGCCTGTGCCTTGGTGTGTGTTTCCCCATGGGCCCCTGTACCTTGTAACCTGCATTCCTGTTCCTGTTCCTGCCTGACTGACTGGTTGCCGACCCTGCCTGATTCTGACCTCTGCTGGCTTCTCCTGTTTGATCCCTGGCTTGTGACCCCGACCATTCTCTGCCTGACCCCCTGTACCTACCTGCCCGTTAGTTGCTGTACTCGGCTCGTGACCTGACTACTCTCTGCCTGCTCCTCCTGTACCTACCTGCCCGTTAGTTGCTGTACCCGGCTCGTGACCTGACTACTCTCTGCCTGCTCCTCCTACCTACCTGCCCGATTGTTATTGACCCGGCCTGCCTGACTACGCTTGCATTGTATGTATTGTTATCTGTGGGTGGTTTGGTTCGTTTGCACTGTGTTTATGTTTTAGTATTGCACTGCATTTTGTATTGTTAATATTAATAAATTATATTGTTTATAACATATCTGAAGCCTGCGTTTCCCTACGTCAGTTCACACACCTCTGGTCATACCCGGAGCCCTGACAATTGTTTAGGTTTGTTCATTATTTTTAGATGCATTGCTAGTCCCTGAAGAAGCGACTCCAGTCACGAAACATGTTGGGCGTTTTTTACACAGCTTGGACATTCCTCGCCCTCTGAAAGAAGTATACTGTATTCACCATCTTCATCTAACCTCTCTTGGAATTAGTTGCTATGTGTGGTTGGTGGGGGGAGACATGCTGTGTTCTAAGTGTGCAATGCTATTTTAAATATATACAGATATGTTTTAAAGGTGATATGTTAACAAAGCAACATTGTTTTTACTTTTTGTGTACTGAGTTTATATGCCTAAAAAATCCATTAGATGTTTTTGCCTCTCCCATTCAATATTATCTCTTTAATGAAAAATCAAGATTTATAAAGAAGCTGCCTAGATGCCATCCATCCTTGTGCTAAAGAAATTAGGCGCTCACCAACTGACAGATAACTGTTTCTCATTTGCTTATAAAACTATGTTTTTATTTTCTTTGACTATTATTTTACCTAAGTAAGATCCACAAGTTTGGCAAATGGCTACTATAGTTTTATTATTTAAAAAGGACAGGGGAAGACAAGAACCCTTTATTTAATTTATATTTTAAATAAAAATCATTACAATTGTACTGATATTGACTGTTTGAATGTTACCTTTATAGTTTATTTAACCACAATCTCCATGCCTTCCATGATAGTGAGAAGATGATTTTCTTAAACCTGTCAACCATCTCTTAGTTTCCTAAATAAGTAAAAAGAAACAAACTTTATTATTGATAGTGATTGGATAGATTCAACAGCGCAGGCATTTAAGGTATCATCTACAGAGGCTTGATTGACTTGCATGGAAATCTAAAACCAAAGCATGAAGCATATCATAAGCAACAATAAATGCATGTAATATAGCATACATATATCACCTCACACTGTACTCAACTCCAGTGCAAGGTAAATGAAAGACAGGCTTCAGCTCAAATCCCTGCCCATCCATCATGCCACTCACTGAGAGGAGCATGATTGATAGGTGGAGATTTGAGCTGAAGTCTTTCATTCACCGTACACTGGAGTTGAATACAGTGTGCGTTGATACCTGTATGCTATATTATATTCCCCTTTCACTTCATGGCCAAGAAACACAACTTACTCTTTGCAGAGCTTTACTTTTAGCTCTCCAAAGTAGGGGAAAAATCCCTCTTTTAGACAGTTGTCACCAGAACTGGTGTACTCATTCGAAGATTGTATTCACTTCTTGTTCCTGAGACAAATATAGCATTTTGGATTGACAAATGTATCTGTTCCAGGGGCAAAGACCATCAGGAAAAACAGAGGCAAATAAATGTTACACTATTCCTATTTCTTTCTATTGCACCAGAATTGTGGCAGCCTGCCAATCAATGTAAGCAAAAAGCAAATATTTCTATGCTATGCTGTTGGAAACTGACTGAAACTCAACTTTACAGTCTTTTGTTGTGATTGGAAAGGATTTTTAAGAAAGAGCTACTTCACAGTACACACAGCTAGAAAGGTCTGGGTTGATTTGTTTTAAAGCTGTCTTACTACTTTTTAAGATTACATAAATAATTGATCATTCATTAGCCCTGAATCACTTTATGGTATTTTAGTTATATTACTATACTTGCAGACAAGTGTAACAGCCAGGGGCGGACTGACAACTCATGGGGCCCCTGGGCAATAGGGGATCATGGGGCCCCTGTGCCCTTGCCAAACTTAAAAAAGCCTATGAAAAAGATACCAGGGGCATGTCATGGGGCCCCCTACTGACCCCAGGCCCTCGGGAAGTGCCTGAGTCTCCAAATGGTCAGTCCGCCCCTGCTAACAGCATATTAAATTAACTTTTTAATCCAATTTCCAAAAATAAGGGAAAATGAAATGTGGAAGATTTTAAGGTAAGAACATTCTACCATATGTGTAAGAAGATCAGTCAATAACTTAGGTAAAAATAGACTGGGTGCTTTCTGGGGAAACTCTTAGTCCCAGTTCTTCACCTACAGATAGTGGTTGGGCCATGTTAAGAAGCAAAAAAGGAAGTATCAACTGTTGACATACTTTAAATACCAATTTAACTGTCACCTGAGAATCTCTCAGCTGGAGTCATCTCAGTAGTTGGGTTCTCCCCAAGGAGTGTGATCATAAAACCATGTGGAGTGAAGCTCCATGATAGATTGCTCCATATAGTTTATGCTTCCTATGTTTGTCTGTTAGAAAGGGATGTATTTAATCTTATATGCTTTCCCCTTTTCTACATATAGGTTATATATATGGTTTTTTGCACGGTGTGGCACATGACATGTAAAACACAAAGGAGACACACTGCTGCATGACAAGGCTGTATAATATGTGACACTTCTGTGTGACTCTATCATAACGTCCATAGGCACTGTGTGGTTTGGTAACTATATACAGTAAGTTATACATTTATAATAGCACTGACTAGTATCATTGTTAATATGTTAAAATGTGAAATTTAGGTCACATGTGGAGCTTGATGAAGTTAGTAACCTGCTTGCTTCTGAAAATGTTGGCAGCAGTGTGCTTTCCGAAACTTAGTTGCACCATGATGTCTCACTCCTCCCACTACAAATTTGGTTTTCCCACCTCCCACCTCCTGCTGCATTCTTTGTAATATAAAATATGCACTATATTGCCAAAAGTATTGGGATTCCTGCCTTTACACGTACATGAACTTTCATCCTGGACTGGCATCTCAGTCTTGGTCCTTTGGGTTCAAAATTGAGTTGGTCCACTCTATGCAGCTATAACAGCTTCAACTCTTCTGGAAAGGCTGTCCACAAGGTTTAGGATTGTGTCTATGGGGATGTTTGACCATTCTTCCAGGAGCACATTTGCGAGGTCAAACACTGATGATGGACGAGAAGGCCTGGCTCACAGTCTCTGCTCTAATTCAATCCAAAGGTGTTCTATCGGGTTGAGGTCAGGACTCTGTGCAGGCCAGCCAAGTTCCTCCACCCTAAACTCGTTCATCCATGTCTTTATGGACCTTGCTTTGTGCACTGGTGCTCAGTCATGTTGAAACAGGAAGGGGCCATCCCCAATCTTTTCCCACAAAGTTAGGAGCATGAATTTGTTCAAAATGCCTTGGCATGCTGACGCCTTAAGAGTTCCTTTCACTGGAACTAAGGGGCCAAGCCCAACCCCTGAAAAAACAGCCCCACACCATAATCCCCCCTCTACTAAACGTTACACTTGGCACAATGCAGTCAGGAAAGTACTGATTTCCTTGTCAGACTGCCAGACAGAGAAACATGATTCGTTACTCCAGAGAACATTTCTCCACTGCTCTAGAGTCCAGTGGCAGCACACTTTACACCACTGCATCCGACACTTTGCATTGCACTTGGTGATGTAAGGCTTGGATACAGATGCTTAGCTATGGAAACCCATTCCATGAAGCTCACTATGTACTGTTGTTGTGCTAATCTGAAGGCCACACAAAGTTTGTCTTGAGCTATTGACTCTGCAGACAGTTGGCAGCTTCTGTGCACTGTGCACTTCAGCATGGGCTGACCCTGCTCTGTCATTTTACGTGGCCTACCACTTCGTGGCTGAATTGATGTTGTTCCCAGTTGCTTCCACTTTGTTATAA